GTACATGTAAGAACTGTAAACACTTATTGCAACGTCCCCGAAGTGGACGTTGAGTGACACGTGTTCCTAACGTTCTCAAGCCAACAGAACACCTGGGATGATGGATTCAATACGATACTACTAGACAGATACTACTAAATAGAACATTATACAAACAGGCAACTCCAGAGAACTGGAGTACACCAAATAACAGGGTCGGGAATTCCGCCGCTGGCGAGCTGGAACAAAAGACAACTGACCCACGTCTCATTGAAGTGGACGCTGCTAAGTCGCCCAAAGGAGGGACGCACGATTCATCAGTCTGTAGGGTCCATACAGACAGGGTTGGAAAGAAAGTGCGCGGACCGGGTTATTACGCTGTCTGGAAGAATAACCGGTCTGATGTGCATGTGAAATGTCACAGCTAAACAATCTGGGGCAGGTTATTAAATACCGGAGTGTATGAATTAGTTGTGAACTAGAGCGGCTATTGCATACAGATTGCGTTTAGACGAAGCAAGCGCACGTAGGTGTTATGACACCTACCGTATGTCTTCAACAGGAGAGAGAAAATTACCACTGGACAAATTTTTTTAACGTTTTGCGACAATGCTGGGTGAACTTTCTGCTACAAAAAACACGGGACCTCAGCCCTGGATTCCTTCGCGAAAAACAAACTTCACTTCGGAGACTAAAAAGATACAGCCGGAGTTTCAGTGTTAGAGACTGCACCGAGAGAATAAATTGCCACTCGTCAAGACAACAATAAATGCTAGCCACTGTTTTTTCCATCACTCCAACGACGAAAACGTAGTTACGAAAGCGTCCTGACACAGATAGACAGCCGGGCACTGGTCGCTCGTGTTACCGGAGCGACGACAGACGCTAGACCGGTCATCATGTGACGATCACGTGCTAATTTTTGTCCTAACTTGTCTATGCGAACGTGCTCGCCGGCAGCCGCAGCTGCGCTTGGCGCCCACTCACGCACGTGATCTACTGCCGAACAATTTTTAAACTTCTTTGTTATCATAGACATTTCATTGATGCATTGTAATTCGAAAAATTAGTTGAATTTCGACAAATGGCTTAACTAAACAGCAGAAGAGCAGCAAGGTAGCTGTTACAGTTTTTTTAATTTTGTTAAGCATCTGCCGAATTTGACACTCAATTAACCAAAGCTCGTCGAGACCAAGACGTCATTTTTCATTTTTGTTCGGGAAAACCCGCTTTAAACTAAAAGAGTATCATCTGAAAACCGTATCTCCGAGCAGAACAACTTTAATAAAATGGGTGGGATTTTTTCAGCTTTATGAAATCAGCTCAAATCATCATTCCCCTTAAAAAGAGAACGCCGAGATACCACTACGGTATTTCATTTAAAAAGAAATCACGGACCAAAAAATAGCTTGAAGAGAACCAATTTTTCACTCGGAATTGTCCTCCGTGACGACAAACTCCTTCGGCAGTTGACCGGTACAATCTCAAAATCCGGAACTGTCCCCAAATCGAATTCCTCAGTCGTGTTTAAAAAACGGAACAACCACTCGAGTACTGGAAGGACACAGTTTTCTCCGTGACCAAGTGGTTAGAGTGCGAATTTACTCTCCAGAAGGTCCGTGGTTCGAACCCGACCTCTGACTCTCGGCTTCCCATGTCTAGGCTTGGGCAATCTGGCAGTATTCCAGCCCTCGTGCATCCTTCGGGTGGCATGGCAGCTAGGCACCGGAAGGGTGCTACAGCTGAACGATTTTTTCCCTCTAATTTTATGAACTTAAATGAACAGATTCATGTCCACCCAAAACCGGTTAGGACACGAGAATTGATTATAGGTTGAGGTTGGAAACGTATGCTATGACAATATCGTGATTTGCCGATAGTTATAACGTAGAACTACTCAGCCATTTTCCAAGAGGCACGTTGTGGGACTTATCGGGTGGTTATCTCTGGGTGGATTGCCGGTTTTATGTTTCAGTTATATGGAGCAGGTAAGTTTATTGTCTTCAGAATTACAATGCGTGCTTGTTGAGCATTTGTCGATAACCAGTGGCTTCCCATAGACTAAAAAGATAATCATTCAACTGTAACGTCCGTTTGGCGCCTAGCTGCCATGCCACCCGAAGGGAGCACGACGGCTGGAATACTGCCAGGTTGCAGAGGTCGGGTTCGAAACACGGACCTTCCGGTCAATAAATTCGCACTGTAACCACTGAGCCCTACGAAAAACTATGGGGAATCTGAGCGAGGATGGAGAATGATTAAGGCTCGAATTACTGTGGAATGTATATATGTCGCGATGGCTTAATTATCCAAACGTACTTGAACACGTCAACATGCTCCACTGTTCATTAAAACAACTGCGACTTGAAGTAAAACGTAAGCAAAGCTGCGTTTCAGTTGTGAACCACGTAAGCTGCATCTCCGAACTTCAATCATTGGTTCCTCTCACTCGAACGACAAACCGATCACTTACTAAATAAAATAATCATCTGTACACTGAGTGAGTATTTAAGAGAGATTAAAACAAACATTGTATGAATTTTGCTTACAAGCCCTACGATCAATTTTACCGGGGGGTACAAACAGGCATCAGCTGGGCAGCATATTTCAAATTCCATTGGTCCTTCATCCTACACAAACGACGGAGTTACCTTGGTCGGGTAGTTAGGACAAAGTCACGTGCCCTCAATGGCGGCCAGCCACATACCACCCACGAAACCAAATGCTAAAAAAATATAAGATCTAGGTATTCTCTATTTTACAAAGCCACTTACGTTCCACATCACCAGGCTACCATCTGTCGGTCTTGAACGTTCACAATGGCGAACAACAGATGACGGTTGAAAGTACGCGCCTTCCTTCGAATAGATCTGATTTTCCAACAATGTATTCGGCAGACAAGTCCCTCAAATCAGGGTAAACCAAGAACAATGGCTGATTCAAAACATGTATTGTGACGCTAACCCATGAATTTGTGTATGACAGTTCGTTCTTTTTCGTCACGCCGTTTGACCGAAATAAAGTGAGAAACGAAGCCTCCACTCATCAAAGCGGGACTAGTACGGTGAGCCATTCCAGTGGTTTGTGAACCTGAACGAGTCAGACTAGATTACTTCGGAGATCAGACCAGAATATGGACACTGGTTGACAATTCCATCTTTCTACGCATACCAACAAACAAATGCACCGAAATGCGCGAATCCTAGTCGGGGAAATCGACTTGGAAAGCTATCGCATTCGGCACCATAAAATGCCTTGGATCATACATTTACGTCCACGGGAAAAACCAACCGGTTAACCAAGAAAATTAGTTGAACGGCACAAGCTCTTCAAACAACACTTACCGCCGTTGAACTGCTTCAGAAAGACTCTCGGTACAGTGCACAAACGGGTGGTTAGTTAGTCACTCAAAGTTGCTGAATCCCAGGAATGCAAGTCTAGCGATGCTATAGAATTACGGGATACAGAGCACTCACGAGCCAGGTAATGTAGGTTCCACAACCAAAAAGCCTTCAGTGATCAAGTGAATTCTTAGTCCAAATTAGATCGGGAAACCTCATAGCAGCATTAAAGTACCCCCATTACCACTTGCCGCGTTCTCCAATGATTGAAGGTGATCATTCCGCCAGTGTGAACTGCAAAAGCAGTTGTCAAAGCGACCATGTTTCCTGGTTGGGACTTTCTGACCTCATGATGGACGGAACCCTCTTGTCATCGGCGTCATATACATGGCCGCGAGAAAAGTATCCTAACCGGTGTAGCATTGAAAACTGCGGTCTAACAAACGCAACCCATGGCTATCTATTGTGATCCAATTCATTTTGGAAAAAGTATCCCATGAACCCAAGCGACATATCATTCACCACCGATGCTTAGGAGACAGTAACGACCAAACATCGTTCTGCGTCCTCTGGTCACGTTCCTGACTAAGATTCTAGCCCACAGACTTGTTCAAGTCCCTAAGCACAGCGGCCAAGGCAACAACAAGGATATCTGGAGCCATGGAAGTCATTGTAGCCAACGGAATTGTGGACCAAACATCAGCATCATAAAAGACACTGATGCTTCACGGACTACATAGAACACAGCTCAACTCTAACCCAAGAACAGTACACTTTCCGTCAACCACACTCAAGTGCATATCACTCGCTTATTGTCAGAGATGGCTGAGGAATGACGATGTGCACTGGAAAAGCAGTCGATGTGATTACCAAGACTTCTTGGGAGCGACCGATCGTCTGGTCCACCGCAGACGTGTGTAGTGAACCTACTTCGTGAAAGAACTCGGAGAATACGCGTTCAGCTAACGGGTGATGTGACTTACCACAGGGGGTAATACTGCATCCTCGACTTTCTTCTAACCTCCACGTTCATTACAAAACCCCCTAGTTTTTCGACGACAAGATGTCCACACCTGGGGTCCCCGATTACAACTACGAGTGTGTGCACACGTAATTCCAAGTAAAAACTTTCTTTAACCTTTTCCAACCTCAACCTTGGGCAAGATAGCTGTGGTTAGAGTGGGAACCCGACTGGTGCCTCCCTACTTCCCATGTCTAGGCTTGGGCAGTACCTAACCCTCGTGTTCCTTCGAGAGATAGCTGTGGTTAGAGTGGGAACCCGACTGGTGCCTCCCTACTTCCCATGTCTAGGCTTGGGCAGTACCTAACCCTCGTGCTTCCTTCGAGTGGCATGGCAACTACGCACCGAAAGGGTGCGACAACTGAACGATTCTCTTTTCTGGAAAATCAAGATACCTACACAAAGATCCAAACACGCTTCAGGTGATAAGCGATGATGTAAGGATAGAATCACACCACCCACCTCGAGAATGAGTCACTACCTTGAGTATGATTAAGGGAGTGTGACAAGCAGGTAGGGTTTCCAAATTTCAGTAACAAATGCATCAAAAGGTGCACAAAAGCGGAACGTCATCAAACGTGAAATAAACTCCCGCATCGTTACTAACCCGTACAAAATGCGAATAAGAGATAATATGTACATATATATATATATTTGTACTTCGTTCTTGTATATAGGCCGGGAGAGAAAGATACTAGAAACGGTAGTTCCAAGCACAAACGTATCAAGTCAAAAACAGTTTTATGCACGTTCACACAAATAAAGGTGGTCCATGGGATCAAACCTCAGGACAAACATGTAGCACAACAATTTTTGTGCAATGATAACGACTGCTGCTCGGAGCAAGTTTATTTTTCCTGCGTTCGTAGGAACAATTCCCAACCATGTCAATACAAGCTGATAGATTTACTGATTGACTGACTGACTAGCAAGAGAAAACCGGTTAACGACCGGATAATCTCCGAAAGACGGAATGACCAGTTGCCACACACGGTGTGACATGGAGAATTTGAAGATTTACTAGTGTGAAAAGGCAAACACAGTGATGCTAGCGGTGGTGTGTGTGTGTGTGTGTGGGTTCAATAGACCATCGACAAAGAAAGGAGTCGAGCAAATAGCAAGATTTCGGAGGAAGGGCCTATATCTCGACCTTGGCTGCAATAACAATCAGACGAAGCGGAGACGAGGGATTAGAAAACCCGGTCGATCAAAGATCGTGAACCGGCATGAAACAAGAGCAACAATCACTGTTCTAGTCCCTGAATAAACTGCTGTTCTGTGCGCTGTCCTGTACAGACGTAGGCACAAACGAAAGCTCAGTTTGGAACAGATAAGTCAATTGGAGAAGGGGGTGAGGAGCGGTCGTGGTAGGTGAACACGTTCACTGTATGGGGTGTCGTGTGCCGAATCGGTAGCTTGAACAAAACGGAGACGGGTATTTGGAAGAAAATAAGGCCTATTTGCCGTTTACTGCATCATTGTCGTGTGCAAAAATGTGGGATATGCACGTTTCCCGCAGACCGAAGAGAACAACCCGAAGAGTACGGCATCAAACATGTCCTCAATTGAGACTTGAAGATCGTGGTGCTGAGTAAGAAGAATCATTACACAATATAGCCGTTCTGTCGAGCACGTAGGTACTCCGTTGCGGGAACGCTTAGCTTCTCACTGCGATATCGCGTCAAACGGATGGACTGACGGAGTGACTCGCTGATCGGTCCACGATAACCGCCTTTCCGTAGTAGCGAGTCAATGGTCTCCAAATGATTCCAACCTTGAAAATAAAAATGCAGAAAGGCGAGCATGCAAATAGCCGAATAGAGAATCGGAAAAAAACTGGCTGAAACAAAAATGAAGGTGAGATATGGAACGAATGCTATCGAGAGGGTAAATGCGGAAGTGACCACTGTATTTTCCGCTTGATGCGGAGGAAACTACCTGAGTTGTAAAGCCTCTGAATTATTTACTTCAACGAGAATGGTCTCATGCAATGATCCGCTTTGGATGGAAGAGAGTAACAGACAGACGAGTGGAACGCGTATCGACCAAGCTTAGCGTTCTGAAAACCTTTTTACCTTTTACATTTCCAACTCGGACCGAAGGAAGAAAGCGGCCGCTTGTCTAAAGATTCATCCAGTACATCACCTGCAGGAATATCATCTTCTAGGTATATCGTCATTACAAGGCAAAGATAAAAACACGGTTATTGATTGCCACTGTAACAGTATTATTTTCATCAGGATTATTAGTTCAAGTTCGGTGAGGAATTGACTGTTTGACGTTTGACGACGTGCACACGGTATTACTGAGAAACGGCCGCTACCTGTGTTATGTCCCACGAACACCAATATTGATCCAGTGTTGTATCACCCAGTCAAAAGTTGTGTCTAATGGCCAGGCAAGATTACGTTTTCCGAAACCATACAGGACATCGACAGGTTGGACGATATCTAAAAACGGCCGTCAGTGGTGGTTAGGAATGGAAAATTATGAGAACAACATATTTCATCCCTTGCACTGTTTAACGAAAATGTACGTCAGTAGAAGATGAAGGATATGGATTGTTTGGTATACCAACAAGGGCCATATACTGATTCAAGCCTCTGCAGCTGAGTGTCGGAATGGAACGACCATATCCAGCCATTTGGCGAATACTTGAAAACGATCGACGTGTCACCGTTTTGCCAATTTTGAAGAAACCAAATGAATATGCGTTAGCTGTCTACAAGGCTCGACCCTATTGGGTAAAATATTCTGAACGGTTTGGCATGACCGATTTCCAAGAGACTGTGAGGACTTGGGACAATTCAGTGGAGAATTCGTGGAGCCAATCTAGGCTGGGCGGCCGACACCATCATCATCATCATTGACAGCATGAAATCAGTGTTCGACAATGATGCTTCGCCGCCGCGAAACCGATAAGCACCCTTCATCGGGAACCATCAGTGCTGTGTATCTCACCACACTCCAATGAGTTTCGAACCGCCGACCTTTCTCAATTACCGATTCCCTTTACTTGATTGCTGGGGCTGACTCACAACGGCTGTTAGTACCCTGCCCTAAGCAACTCACCAATGCTTATGCGAACATAACTTTGTTTCGGCCGTTGCTACGCTGCCAGCGTTAGGCCAGTATCGGTCACTACAGTCACATAGCGTAGCTAATCGTGCACAACAGCGGTCTGATGGTAGGAGAAAAGCTGATATGGCATGCACCAGATAGGGAAACCAGCATGCAAACACCCTATATATTCCAGGATGACGACGCGGGCTTCAGTAACTGAGTGGCTAGAGACTATCAGATATGCCCAGTCGCGGCCCTCAATGGCGCTCGTGCATCCAAGCTATTGCCTTCAATGCATAGCTCCTTTTCAAACCCCCCCCCCCACTTGACNGTACCTATCCCCCCCAAAAAAAGCATCGGTGAACGAAACTGCGGCAGCTACAACCACTGTACGACGAGTACGCGGTTATTACAGCCGACAATGATGATGAATGACTTGGAGGAAATAGCGTAACCTGAGCACTAGTGGACATTATACATTTTTTTGTATTCTCAGACTCCCAGAGTATATGGAGGATTCTCCAAAAGCTTCCGCAGACAAAGTGGTGTCCGTCATGGGTGCCCACTCTCTCAATTCTGAATTAATTTCATGGTCGACGATACAATAAGACGAACGCAGAAAGGTCTTCAAAACCCGGGTGTTCAAATAGCCTCTGACGAAAACCTTGTCGATCTGGAATATGCAGACGACGTCGTTCTCCTTTTGGGAGAGCATAAGGCGCAGATGTTTTTCGAACTGACCAAAGTCACTTTGCCCTTTGCACTCACAAAGTGTGAGATCATGCTATTGGACATACAGTCACTGAACACGCTAATCACAATGCAGGGAGAGGCACCGGTAGTTGTATTAGTTCTGATTGTAGTGTGACAGATAAGTTCAATGCACGGATCTGCAATGCTCGGGTCACTTTTGTTAGTTCCAGACACCTACGGCGTCAAAACAGTCTATCCCTGAATCTCAAGGGACGCATGTATCAGGGTTTAGTGCGGGCTGTGGAACTTGGCCCGTTCGAGCAGAGGAACTGAGGTGTCTTCAGGTCTTCAACAACCGATGTCTAAGGACTAGAGCTCATGCAGGTGGGTGTCGGCGAATCCGTAACGAGGCAATTAGAAAATGAGATTTTGATTGTGCAACGGGTACTTCCATTGAAGATTGTGTCCAGCGCCGAAGCTACGTTGGCTAGGCTAAGTACTGTGTAAGCCGAATTATTGTTTGCCGAAAAGAGTGCTGTTTTCTGTGCACAATTCAGAGTAGCGAAAGCACAACCAACCCTTGTTCTGGTGGAGGGGTATGAGAGAGATTACGAAACGCTTGAGTGCTGTCGGTGCTGCTCATCTATCAAGATGAGGACAGCGTGGTCCACACTAAGCCCGATTAGAGACGCTTCAACATATGGCTGCAAATCAATGTCAATGGCCTCCGTGTTGTCAGTTTCTATGCGGATTGCCTGAATGAGTGTTTGGAGGTGTAGGCACCTCGTAATGATTGTTAAGGTAGCGCGAAGTCCCTTCCCTAACAACCTTTATTCTTTTCTTCACAATAATGCTTTCAAATAAATCATGACTGTACGGCAGCGAAGCACCAGTTTTCAACAGTGATGTCATGCAGTCCATGATGATGGTGGCTGAGCTGTTTTCGGAATGTCTATTCGACTAGCGACACCATGCTGAAAGCACTTCACCAAGGCCTTGTCCGAAAACCAAATTCTCAGCTTCGTTTGTACCTGGATTGACCTACGCCCATCTGTTCGGGTGGGAACGACAATATATGGGAACGCCATTCCGTTGGACTGACTGCTGGATAGCTGGTAGCTAATGTGTGTCAACTCGAGGTGATCAAAACCAAGGCTGGATGACGGTTGGAGGCAGTCAACGCCAGCAGTTTTCAGCTAGAATTTGACGGGTTGTTGATTCGTTTACACATAATTGTAATGGAACCAGAAATATGGACCCAACGACAACGAAGGTTTTACTGTGTCTGCAGCCAGACCCTAGCTAAGTTAAAGTAGCACCAAGAGGCCCAGATGATCTAAAATACGACCTATCAGTCGCAGTCAACCTCGTTAATTTAAAAGCGCCAAAACTTTTGGTTGTTGCATCATCAAACCTTCGTGGATGTTCTCAGGCTGTGGTGAAAATGCAGTCATGTACCTGGAAGCAGGAACTAGTTGTCACAGTTTGGCTAGACAAACAAACATGGAACGCTGCAAGTGGGTTCGGGTTTGACATCACTCGGTTCCTATTCCCATACACTACTCAGGGGTACCGAAACGAGGGGAGAAAACCACCAACGGAAAGTTAACGTACTTGCTGCTTTACTGTCACTCTGTCACAAAATCTGCCCCAAAAATTCGGTTAACCGTTGTAGAATTTACAGCGATTTTATATTTGCGAATATCACACTGCGCATGAATGATAAGAACGGTTCTCAGATATCCATCGTATCATCGTTAGACAGGTGTCGGTTTTCAGTACATGGATGTAGCATTGTTCTGTGTTCCCCGACCCAAATGAGTGGATCAGAGTTTCTCTTGCCGTTCACATGGTTGTGAAAAATGAGTGCAAAAAAGACAGACTAAAATGACCACAACGGTCATCACACACAGGAACAGGCTAAATCATACACACTGTACGTGCTTCATGGTCAAGGTCACGGACTGACCTACATTCAGCGTCTGGTGGTGCTTTGGCAATTAAGCTACCGACTGAATGTAGGAAAAAAAACTAACAAACTCACTCTTACCAGATACGCCTGTCCGACCACTTCGTCAAAATAAGTCCAGAGTTCGTAAAATCTTCACACACTCTTTTAGGCGACTTCCAACAAAGGAAGCCACAAAAACATCCGTGACATTGATTATCTCCATAGTTCGCAGCACCTCCAGTCATGCACAGGGGAGTACACAGATACCTATTCTGTAGGACCAGTCAAACCAGTTGGACTTCCCGTTGCACAAACGAACAGCAGTTTTTTAGCTGTCTCATTTCCGATTCCTGGACACCAGTCCACACCAGCTACAGTCACGAGACTACGGTTACCAAAGACCTGAAGATACTTAATTCAGAGGCCATGGAGTTTGATTACCGCATGCACTATAGGCTCTCTATTCAAAACCAGCTCTAGTACCGATTATCTCGAGTTGTCTGGAGGTAACTATATCAGACAAGAGTTCAGTGGCGCTTGAGAGAAGATATGCAGCCAGATGAAGTGTGGTAAATGGTCTTTTAAGATATTCTAAAGCGAAGTTATACCATCTACCGCGATTCCAGCAGTGTAAAAAGGTCAAAAATACCAAGCCTCGAAGAGTTGCATGAAGAATCCACCAGAAAAATTAAGACCCGTAACCAAAGAGCAAATACGTCCATACCTTGATTTGACCTAATTACAGACTAGCTAGACCAATAAAATCGATGAAACTTATCTCTATTAGTCGATAGCAAATCATAATACGTGGGTTTTCGATCACATGCACGCTTACACGGCAACCAGCCGAACGAGTTTGTCTGAGAAAACCTTTGATGTGTCAACTATCAACACACCACCGAAGGCGACTGGTCAACATTGAAGACGAATAATAGTATACTGCTAACTGCCTGAGTTCGTTAATTTACCATAGAGACGGGCGCAAAAAAAGTGGCGTTCGGGGTAATAGGGTGTACTCTGGTGAAGACCAGGCAATAGATGTCACACAAGACATCCCTTCCTAACATTACTCATAAAGAGAGTTTGCTATCCGAGGCGATGAAAGCCAAACCTGTAAGGCGCCAAATAAAGCACATATAACCGTCTCCTGTGTACAGCAGGACTACAGAACGAAAGAACGACTGATTGAGATACTTAAATGTGGTGTCTTTCAACGTAGCATTGTTAAGCCGAGGGTGGGATATTGCCATATTATACAAGCAGAAGCTGAAGTCGATTAACCACACCACCAACTTTGTTCTCTACGCTAATGCGAGCTTACAAACCTTGTACACACCGAGTGCAAACATTTCTCCACGTTCCAGTGATTCAGTTGGCACGATATTCGAGATATCGCAGTATATTTTCATAAAGGAAACTACTCACAAGGTTGCTGAAAACTCTTCGACAGCCCACGACCGGTTTCGCCCTTCTTAGGGCTCATCAGGTAGGCGCAGTCCCCAAGTTTCCGTCAACCTTATGTTCTACATGGGGAGCATTTTACGTGCATCGGGCAACATTTATGTCACGATATACTGAGAAAACCGACTGAAGTTAGGCCTATATATACTAAACCAACGGCAAAGACCGAGAAGTGTGCTTAGAAAAGACACCATCCCGAGGGAATACGACTTACCTTGTTTGTGGGCAACTTCAGGAAGGTATGTGGCCGTACGGTGGTAACCCTTCTCGTTTACAAACTCGATCCGGATTCCGTGCACACCGATCTTAATGAGAAATGAAGTGTACTCAGAAAAGTGAATCAGAAAACTATTATCCAACATAGGGTAAACCAGCAAAATGATAGATTTAGGACGCGGGCATGGGTAGTACATAACTTCAACACCATTAGCTACAGTGCTTGCCAGATGCACATTGGTCATTCACAGTAAGTACGCATACCCCCCCCCATGGGACTATGAGCACATAAGGGGTCGTTTAGTTCATCTGACCAATTCGTTGAACGCCGATCAGGATCTGACTGAATTAGATAAAATGTGGTTTTATCTCTCCTGATAATCGATCAACCTGTGTAAAATAATTCCAGACAGCACCTTGGATGCCACGGTTACTAGGGTGATTCCTCGATACCTTGTCCTCTTATGGGACTTCGTTTCTTCGTTTTCCTTCAAAATCCTCCTCGGTAAGGTCTTCATACTACTCATCAGGGCTTCATCGCCTTTAAGTACGGAGTACAGGACATCCGGGCGGGATATGCTGGTGCGTCGGAGGAATGACATTTCACGCTGGATTTCTATAGTTGAGAGTGGCTGCTGTTGAAATTCGTTAAGGCTCGTTGGGTTCTTCAGGAGGTTGTGCTGGAGCAGGCCAGCTGTCCTTTAAAGTGTTCAGCTTATCGCTCAGAATGACTTCGTGAATGGACTATCGTAAATGCGTTCTGGTGTCCACCTCACCCTTAGAGGAGCACGATCTGAAAGAAGCATCTAGTTCTTGCCAGGTTTGTCACGTCACATTGCGTTTCTGGCCCATTACCTGTGCGGCGAATTCCGGGTACAATCTAGGAGACACTGCCCACAAAAGAATAAACAAGCCGTGGAACACACTTTGTAGGAGGCACGAAGAACAACACTAATCTCGGTGGACGATATTTCGGCATGCATAGTACATACATAGTACATCACCGTAGGTGATGGTGCTGGAAGTAACTGCTGCACAACCAAATATCCGTTTTATAATTGTCTTGTTACTAATTCATCGACGCCATTCGGTAACACCAACGCTTTTAAGACATAGGTGGTAAATGAAGTGCCTAAAAATACTCATTCAGCTGTAACACCCCTCAGTACCTAGCTACCACGCCAAAGGCGTTGAGAAACACACAGGTTGCCGAAGTCTATACAGGAACAGTCGAAAATTCGAGGTTATGTTCCAACCACGGACCTTCAGGTCAGTGGGTCCGCGCCTTAACCACTGCGCTACCTCAAGCTCGGTGGTCAAGATCTTGAAGATGCCTCGCACCAACGGAGCGAAGAAACCACATCTCGGAAGCACACAATAATGCAGCTCTTACTGCAGCCTGGTAAACACTAACCCTTAGACCCAGCGATATGCCTTCTAGCGGTCAATTCATTCGCGTGGTTGCATGAAAAAGGCTGTTCGAGAAAGTCGATCGACTGACATAAAGAGCATGTGACCAAGATAGCGCAACCTATGGAGCGTGGTGACTATTGTGGACGAGTCCTTTCTTCTGAGATTCAAATTTGAGTCCACCCAATCCCATAGAACCACTTTACATTTCACAAAAGTGAAGTGCATGCCAAACAGTGAGGCAATTATTTGGGTTATTGAGTACTATCTGCATTGCGTCATTCCCAAAAACTTTCATTTGCGTACTCGATAGCTGTGACCGGATATTAAAACCCACAATGACCTCCAGTACTTCTCCTTGGAATGCAAGGAGCATGCACGTTCTGAAGTACGTTGTAGATGCAAGGCACATACCGAAGGATGATATGAAAGTGGTCAGTTAATTAAACAGTGGCTACGTTTGGCCCTTGTCTTAAAAGATGAGGGCGATGTTGTCTGAGCACTCAGATCGGATGGGGTTCTCAACAGCTACACTTTGAACGCAGCTTCTGAAAAGCCTTAAAGTTTTTGCCTCAATAGTTCATCGATAACGAAGTCTAAAAATGGAGATGTGTCATGAATATTCTTTGTGCTTACATTATCGTTTTGTATTAACCGTGCTTTCGCCTTCATTTTCAGCTTATGTACGTCTATTCTTAGACAAGTAAAGCGCTATTCATTCTTGTTCTCGCGCTCAATCAGAATCGATATTCCATTCGTAACAACTTACTTGTCTGAGAATACAATGGAACCGCTGCTGCGACGTGTTTCGACGCAGATCCTAATTCTCCAGACGCGACAACGCGTTGGAATCATTGGTACCGAACCTTCCAAACGTTTCTGGGCACTGTCGAATCGCCCCATCTAAATAAACTCGAAACTCTGACCCATTTTGTGGATGCACCTGTATACGTTTATATTGCTGACTGTCCAGATTACGAACCAGCTATCAGTACACTTGAAAAGGTGTATGTTCGTCCTAAGAATATAATTCATGCTCGCCATCTTCTACAAACTTGCAAACAAGACATCAGTCAAGATGTTGATCAGTTTGTTCAAAGGCTTAAATCATTTGGCCAAAAATTGTGATTTCAAGGCGAT